ATGAGGACGTTTGTGAATTTTGATCCGGAATGGGTACGCGGCGGTCATGAGACGGTCGTTGCTGCCTTGCACCAGGTAGGGCACTTTTCCGGTGAAGTTTTTTGGGATGGCAAAGGCGATGCCAGCCTCACACCGTTCTACCTTTTGGCAGCCATTCGAGAAGTATGGGTAAATAGCACTCACATCCTCCATGTGGCCCTGTTCGCAAAATTTGGTCTTGCTGAGAGTGGTATTGCCCATCACGTTACATGTCAGCTTCTCAAACGAACACTATCGTCCTTCTTTGCGGTAAGCTTTTCGCCGATTGTCAAAAAGAGCACAAAGATTCCAGGCTGTCCGAGTGAACAGAGTCGCTAAGATAGCCTCTGGAGATAGGGTGGGGACGAGGTATGTTGGTTTCTTGTTTGATTATTGTAACAGTGAGTTGTTCCTTTGCAAACCAGGGAAAGCGTGCAGATGCCATAATTCCTGCATTTTAAGGCACCTTTTCTGGTTTCGTCCTCCGCCGTGGGATAAGTAGTGCTATCCTTAAAGTTGACTGTAAAGACACGTCTGATAGCTGCCCAAATCCATTATGGGTCAAGGCTTTGGTTAGTGGAAGAGCAACCCAAATAACCTGGGCGACGTAGGTGATGGCGGCGTAGGTGTAGTCTCCGAGGGACTAATTAAAAGCAGGACTGGGAAGGAAACCACAATAGCCGAGTTCGACGGACACACAGACCTTGTAACTTACCATATTAACAGCCTAGGTACTTGCTAAAAGGCCCGGACACGTGTTTCGCTGGCACTCTGCCGCTGCTAGACACAGGTGCGAGAGGTCCGGCTCATCAGTGGGTCCCCCAGCTTTCACAGGTTTCACAGGGGTTGACGGGTTTTAACACAAATAAACACTTACAATTTCGGTCTACGCCTATAGGCCTTAAATATACTGATATGTACCGCAATCAGAAATTAATTTTTTAGAAGATTAAAAAACTGGACACACAGACCACTGGATACCCTTATCCGGCTTGGCCTGACGGTAAAGGTGGTTATCGTCGTGTTAGTAATAGGCGGAGACTAGTTTCCGAAAGACGCAAATAACATTTGAGTGCCAGTTAAGGATCGACAATAACAGTCGTCACCTGAACGGGGTAACTAGTACGACCTATCGCACCCGCACAGATTACCACCTAACGGAACATATTTACACCTTTCATGTGCGGTAAGGTATGGGAATAGTAACACCCCATCCCCGCCCAAATAATTTAGAGGGTCTTGTGCAGAATTTCAGTAGGTTTAAATATTATCGAGTCATGAACATAACTCTAAATTTAACCTTTGTCTTCACCGTAATCAAAATCCTACTGCTAACTCGAGGCTTTACCCTAATCTTAACACTAGCCGTTATCATCATGGAAATTAATTCAAAAATCCTGGAATAGCGGGAGCAGCGGAGTTTCCTATGCATATGTCCTGTCTCATATTGTATTTCGATATGTGTGCATCCGAATAGAATTCTGGGAGCATCGCGTATGCCCATGTTTTTGCGCCCTGGGAGAGGTAATTTCTGCTAGGCCAGCGTCCTGTATGTTTTTAAACTGCCGCTGTTCCAGCAGTCATTGTCCGCGACATTGTCCGAGGGCCCCAAGTGCTCCCCACGGTGCTTTTAATTTTGCTGTATGAAACCAAGTGCAGTAACTTTTGATATTTACAAACGTCTATAGGGTTGCTCGGTTTCACAAAGAATGCATCAGTAATAATAATGTAAATACCCTTGTTAGGAAGTACAAATGCTCCGCGAAGGTCACTGTCTATAACGCCCGGAATTCCACAGCAAAGGGGTCACAAAAATTTGCATTCTTCATTTAGGATGCATCAGTGAGCATCAGTCTAACATGCGAGTTGTCTTGATGATAGTCTGAACCGCGTCCAAGTCCACTGTCGAAGCCCACTTAACCGAAGCCTGGTAGGTAGGAAATGAGAGCGCGTGTTAGATACCCCGCGAGTCTATCTCATTAGGGGCTAAGCCGTGCGAATGTTATGTGTGCCGCGCCCACTTCTTGGGTCATATAGTGGACTTCGTCGTTCGCAACAGTCAAACTCACCGTGAATAACGTAAATTTAACTAACCGCAGTGGCTTAAGCTAATCGGTAAACCGTTGCCTTTGCGGTCTTCAGGCCGAGTTCCCGGGGGAAGAAAAGAAGTGAGACTCCAGATTGGAGAAATAGTGTATTCTGCACAGAAGAAGGGGAAAATTAATCGGAGGAATTTGACGATAGGACGGGCGTGCTTCCGCTCTCGAGAGGGAAAGCATCCGAAGTGCGTGCGCGTGACAGACGTCGCAGTGAGATCCTGTGTGAGTCAGACACAGGAAGATGATTGGCCAGACTGGATTGGAATAGCCCGGCTGGTGTATGCGCACTTGCTAACAGCCGCAGGAGGTTGAGCGTCGGTGCTGTTTGCGGCACCTGTGATTGGCTGTCCCAGAGGAAGGCTGAGAACCGCAATCACGTGACCTCATGCGTGGAGTAATGCGGGAGGTGTAATGCGCTACAGGGTCACTACAACCTCATATCTAAGTCTAGGCGTGATCGGATGATAAAAAGACAAAGTACTGAAATACGTTTACTGACAGCCCCAAGTTTCAGTGCACACCTTCGACTTCCCATTTCCAGCGAATGGTAAATCCAGTTTCGGAAACGAAATTGCCATTCGGCGTCCATAGTATTTTTCGATAGTTATTCTCAGTAGTTTATTATGAGTTAAGGGGGTAGAAGACTGGAATGATTGACGAGCTAGAAAATAGCCCAGGGTCAAAACGAATTTAAAATAGAAGTTTTGTAGTGGGCGTTAGCGCCACTGTGAGAAATCGCGATCGCTGACTCATCACGACAAGGCTGCAGTCATGCTGACTGCCCGCATCATGTCTAGCGCGACCTAATAATAAGCCCACGCCAGTGCGTAACCTCGAGCGGTCCAACCAATGACCTTCAAGGCTGCAACTAACGGTGGCCGCTCGAATATCTGCCCCCAGACATCACTCCGGACCTAGACCGCCT